CCCCCTGGGCTACTTTGGGCACCCCCTGGGCTACTTTGGGCACCCCCCGGACTATTTTGGGCACCCCCTGGACTATTTTGGGCACCCCCTGCACTACTTGGGGCCATCATTCCGTGCTCTGGTGGTGTTGTTATCCCACTTTTTCATGGAATGAAAGAATGGTTTGGGTGGGAAGGGATCGTAAAGTTCATCTGGCTCCAAAGGGCACCTCCCACCAGCCATGGACAACTCCAGCAATTCCTCTGGAAAAACTTTGGCTCCCAGCCTCCCCCTGGGTCCTCTTCTTCCCTCGGAGGAGGAAAAACCCCCTGTGCCTTAAAAACCAAATTGGTTTCTTCCCCCAAAATAATCCCCCTGAACCCCCATAAAGAGAAGGAGATTCTCCCAACATCCCACTCATCCCATTCCTGTGGGAATCAGGGTGGCCTCTCCCCAGCAGGTCTTTTATGGAACCCCAAAGGTCGGAGGAGCCCTCCAGGGTCACCCAATCCAACCTTGTCCCCTGTGACAAACCCACGGGGTGGGGGCCCCAGCGGGCAGTTTTTCCAGGAATTCCTCTGGAAATCCCAGGGAAAATCCCTCTGGAATTGCCAGGAACCTGCTGCTCCCGGACGGGGTGCCCCCGGAGCGGCAGTGGGCACGTTTCTACGTCAAGGTGTACCGGGCTGAGGGGCTGCCCAGGATGAACACCAGCATCATGGCCAACGTCAAGAAGGCCCTGATCGGGGAGAACAAGGACCTGGTGGACCCCTACGTGCAGGTGGCGTTTGCGGGGCAGAAGGTGAGTGTGAGTGGGACACCGGGAGGGGACACGGGTGGGACCGGCCGTGGACAGGGGGTCTGGGTCGGCCTGGGGATGTTGGGATGTGTGTGGTGTCCCCTGGTTGTCCTGGAGATGTTGAGATGTGTGTGGTGTCCCCTGTTTTACCTGGAGATGTTGGGATGTGTGTGGTGTCCCCTGGGTTGTCCTGGAGATGTTGGGATGTGTGTGGTGTGCCCTGTTTTACCTGGAGATGTTGGGATGTGTGTGGTGTCCCCTGGGTTGTCCTGGAGATGTTGGGATGTGTGTGGTGTGCCATGGTTGTCCTGCAGATGTTGGGATGTGTGTGGTGTGCCCTGTTTTACCTGGAGATGTTGGGATGTGTGTGGTGTCCCCTGTTT